TGACACATGTTACTGGATTTCAATAAAAAAAGACCACATCCTTAGTAATGGAAACAGACTGACTTCAATGTAGAGATGCTGCTATACAATCAGCTTATCATGATGTGATTGGATGTGTAAGATCCTGTTTAATAGAAAGAGCTCTTCTCCACCTCCTGAAAAGTCATTTTTATTGTCACCTACTAGGACTTCTGGTGTTTGCTGACAGCTACTGTACTTCTGCATATCACCTCAGTTCTGTCTCTCTATGTGATTTTTGGTTTAAGAGATAAAAAATGATAACACCTTAAACACAAAGCCATAGTTCAATTTTCTAATCAATGCTTTTGATTTAGGAACAATAAACGTAAACATTGTCAGATATCCAGAGGCCTTTTCTTGCATGGCTGAATTGGATAATCTTATTGTCCTCTGTAATAGCATTCTTTATCCTGTATTCCATATTCTCTTATCTCTATCCAGAAATGTTCCATCTGTCTCTCTTGATGTTTTCCCTCTATCTCTACCTTTATTCTTCCTTTTTCTCTCTATTTTTCCTCCTCAGCTTATATACCTCAACAAAATCTTTCTGGTAATATAGATATTACAATGTGATTACATTCTATTTTTCAAGTAAATTATTACAATGAATGTAAGTAAAAAACTGCACGTTATCTGTATCCCTTACATGACTAAACATTTTACATATTACAGGTGAAAAACAAATTATCCCCAAGAACCTACATACATTCATACCCAAAACAGCTTGTTATAGATTAACAGAGTGTAAGCAAGAAAGGTATTCATCTCAGTTAGTTGTTTTATTGGAGGAATGTATTTTGTGGTTACAAAGAAAGGACCAATCACTTTATTACATCTGCCAACATTAAGATGAAAAGAATTTAAGCTAGCTGGGCTACTGGGACTCAATTGCTTTTCTTAATCATTAACCTAAGCCACAGTCTATGTGGCTCCTCAGTAGAAACTCATGTGCTACAGCTGTGTGGCACTTCCTTGTTTTATTTTTTATTCTATACAGTGTCTGCTTTATCAAATACAGGGGCAAAATTTTGTCCTACCTTTGCCCATGTTAATTTTTCTACTAAACAAACCTCTATCATAGTTCCTTATTATGTTTATTAAAAACCCTCACTCATCAAAATCCTATTTAAACTAACACTGTGATATAAAATCATTGTTTCAGTTAAACTATACAGCTTAGGAGGAAATCTTCTTCATAATAATTCACAGGTAAAAATGCCCAGTAGAACAGGCAAAGAGCAAAAGTTTCCTTCTATGTCTTTATGGCCCATATTAAAGGCATGTCTTTCTGACTCAAGATTTGGATTGCAGGTTTGTGTCTACCAGCCTAAAGATCTGTGTATTCCTCTATCAAAGTTCCAGACTAGAAGTGAATTTACCTACTTCAAACAAAGCAGAAAATCTCTCACAGGTGTGCTCTCCATATCTGGATTGTAGTTCATTCAAGATATTGTCAAGTTGACAACTAAAAATAGCCATCACCTTGTCTCAACCTGATCAGTCATGGTCTAGATGTTTTTATAATAATAATGATAATAGAGGAATTACTGCTTTAGTGGTTGGAATTGGTCCAGGTAAATAGCAGCTGTGGGGTTAAGTTCAGGTTATTGAAAACATTTTCTTGAAAGAGATTGCATTTGTTAAGTTATTTCAGGGAGTTGTCTCTGGGAGAACTCAACTGAAAGATCTCAGGTTTTCTCCATTCTAAAGGGAAGTTGCAGTAATAAAAAAAGTAGAGTGGTATGTGGTAAATTTAACAAACTATTTAAAGTCTAATACAATACTGGTGCCACTTAATTGGGTTTCATATCCATATTAAACTCTTATCTATATGATATATATACATGTATATATAATAATGCTTTAAATCTATGTTTTCTAATTCTTCAAATTACCACTTGTGATTATTACTGAATTAGTTCTTTAAATGGTAGGTAGACCACAGAAAGTTCCTGCCTTGGCTTCTTACATAGTTTGTTGTCATGAAAGTGATGATATCTATAATACTATATTTCAGCAGAAGAAAATGGGCAGATGTAGAGTATTGTGACTTATTAAAAATATTCACTTCTCCTTGCTTGTCAAGAACAGTCAAAATAGTTTCATATTTGATCATATTTACCATATTCCCCCCAACTCTCACCCAATTTTTCTCCTTTCCTAACCACCCAACTTTGTGACATTTTTTTAATTCTTCAAAACCAATTTTTTGCTGCCCACACATTCGACTTGTGGTCTTCTAGTGGACAGTGGTTTACTTACCAGGTGCTACAGTTCTAGAGAAAATTGACCCTTCCTTTCCCATCAGCTAACAATTTTCAACAGCTCCACATCAAGGGTTGGGATCCCATGCCCACCTCCTCTCTCTTTGCTACATTTTGTTCTGACTTGCACTTACACCGAATTTACATATGCTGTTGCAACTACTGTAAATTCATATATGTAGCTGTCCTGTTGTGTCCAGAAGATAATCTTATAATATTCTTGTATAACGGGCTAAGAACTTGCTTGATTTCACAGAAGAAAATAGTGTTGAACCCAACTTTGAGCAGTCAAAATGTGTAGGTCCAAGCTTAAACTCATGCTCTCTTACTCAAAATTTCTAATATAGATATCAAATGACTTTTACTGTGAATATTCTCAGGATACGATGTTCCCTTCAAGCCCTATGGTAAATAAGTGACTCCTTATCATGAGCCATTACACGAGTTAGTGTGTTCTGTGGTTTCTTTATCCCTTGGCTTAACCTTCTGACTCTTCAAAACTATAGTCTGCAAAGCCCATTATTACTTTCACTTGTTGAAAGTATGGCCAGTACAACCCATTCACCAGAGTATAATTTCATTGCTAGATAGTGTGGACAGTTACATAACTCATGGAATACTATTATCATTTGGAATAACAGGTTTTGTTGATCATTTATTTTTTGGTACTGTTTTTAAGGAACTTAGAAATACTGTGCTTAATTTTTATAATGACTATGTGGAGTAAGTAGTAATAATATTTCCTTTTCTGGTAGGGGGATTTAAATCTCAGAAACTAGATAAATTTACCCAACACAACAAAAATCCATAGCTCATAAATACCCTGGATACACATATAATTATGTGATGGGGAAGTCCTATGTATATGTCAATAAAGCACTTTTGGCCAGTAGGGAAGCAAGATAAGTGGGACTAGGAGTCCAGGAGGACTCTGGGTAGGAGAAACACAGGGAGTCACGATGTAGTCGCCATAGGGATAAGAAGTTCAGAACTTTTCTCCAGTAAGAGAAATACTTAGATTAACAATTATGGGTTAAATACTTAAGTCAGAGCTAGCCAGCAAGAAACAAACAAACGGCCAACAGCTTCATAATTAATATAGCGTCTTGTGTGTTATTTGGGGACTACAATGTGGCAGAGCCCAGGCAACTGGTGGGGAAAAACCAAAGCACCTGGCAAGGAAAAGGCTTCACTCTACAATTATGTTTTACTAGTTTCTCACTACATAGCTTTGGTTAGACTACTTAACACTTATATTTACATTAAGAAAATCATAAGAATTTATTATAGATAACTTGGAAAATATATTAAACATACTGGGAAAAGGAAAGTGATTATCTAGGTTATAATGCATAGTAGGCTTCTACTTATATTTACTGATTAGACTATTGCTTTCTTTTTCCTTTTAAAATTTCAATCTTATCACATGTAGAGTTAAAATGTATGTTTGGAAATATTTTCTATTTATAAAGAGCATTTTGCAACATAACAGAATTACCATGTATCCCAAATTCAGTTTCCCCTTGTATTACCTTTTCAAACTACGCTTAGAAAGGAAGATACTACACATAGTCCAGACTTAAGGAGAGCTTTTAAGTATTATGTATGATTTTAAGTGTCAAACTTTTACTAATTATTTTCTGTGCTTTTGTATATTTTGTACAACTGTTATATTGGCTACACACTATACTGATGATTTTGCTATAGTTACAGATTTAATTGTTCTTTTTGTTTATTCTTATTTCATTTAAGAAACGATCATAGAAGTAAAATTGCAGATTAATGGCATGGACAAGATTCTTGTTGCATGCAGTTGCATCAAAGAATTCTAACAGTTTGTATTTCAAATAACACAGCAAAATGGTTCTATCTCTTGTATTTGAACAATATTGCTTTCATTACTTACTTTTTTGGATAAGCTGTGTTTTATTATTTCCATTTGCATTGCTTTTTATAATTAGTAAAGTAGGCCATTTCCTCACGCATTTTGACTGTCTTTATCTTATCTATGGAAATAATGACCCAACTATATCCAAAGGGCTAGAGAGAAAATTATGAAGAAACAGGTCAGAGGCATACAGTCCTCTAAAAGTAAAACAGACTTAGGGAATTCTTGCCCTAAGTGATCTCTGGACAGTTAATGAGGACAGAAAGCCCTTATTATGGAGGTTTGAAAAGTAGACATGATGTAGACACTGGTGTCTTTATTTAGAGAACAGTCGTTAGCTAAATTTAATCAAGACTCAAGGAACTCTTTTGGTGCTTGGCAGATGTTCTGTGTCTAGCTTCCCATTTGCCTCTGGATGATTCCTGCTACTGGTTTCCTATGTTTTGAACATACTGCTTTCTTTCACTGAGAGACATCTTGTCCTTGTCTGTGGCAATATGGAATTACTCATTAGGTGTTGGCGTCTTGTTAGGATTTCATAAGACTACCCAAAGAGCTTTGGCGACACACAAACCTCCGAGCTGGAGAAGATCAAAAGTAGCTTGCAGGTCAAGAGCTATTCACTATTCATGTTCCTTCAAGATGACTTTGAGAATGCAGGACGTAACAGCTCACAATTACTCCAGTAGCTACATGTTTGTTATAGTGGAGAGGCAATTCACCTGTCTCTTTAGAAAGCCGGGCTTCTATGTTGCCATAGCGACCATTCAGTACACTGTGTAGAGTACAGCAGGAGCCAAGCATTAGCAAAGTGGGTGAAGGGTTATGATAGAAAACATGAGATTAGAACAAGAGGGATATCCAGGAGAGCAACATCAGGATGAGCTCACTGACGTGTGAGAAGATGAGAGTGAATGGAGGACAACAGGAAGGATCAAAGTTGATTTGGGCCTCAACAGTAAGCTAACAGAACTGCTGCTAGGAACAGAGAAACTCAGCAGAGCCTCTGTTTGGGGGTCACAGTGTGGATTCTGTGTTCTACCCTGTTCCTCTGTGTAGTTTCTGGAGGAGGTAGAAGCTGATTACTCAAGCTGAGAGGATAGTCTAGCTACCACAGTGTAGTTACTAAAGTGCTTATTGTAAACGTCTTCTCAGCCACTTAGTGAAAGGTTTGGATTTTAAAATCAGTGTCTGTGGGAAGTGTATAGAAATAAGCTGACTTTAAAATGTTGTCTACCTGGAGAGGAGCCACTCTTCACAGCCCCATGCCTTCCTGTTCCTGCGTCTGGTGACCACGACTTCTAACCATAAGATTAATGGAGCTTCATGCTTTCAAACATTTTCCCATAAAAGTTAAACAACATTATCATTTTCAGGTTAAAAGAAATGTCTTTTCAAACTGGTCAAATTATATCCCAGACTTGCCAATTCAGCAGATTACTGTTGGAAATTGCTATGTGGTAACCTTCCTGCGTCACTGAATTTTAATATGTTAATTTTGTAGAGTGAGGCCTGTTAACATATGCTGAGACATTCCTAAGAGATGTGGTATGTTTAGATAGGCAAAGATGTTTGACTCTGCTGATGAACCTTCATGTTAATTCATTTTTTAAGGTTTTTTTTTACTTATGGCAAGGGTGTGTGTGTGTGTGTGTGTTTGTGTGTGTGTGTGTGTTTAAACTAGAGGTTGACATTAGATATGTTCTGTTTCTCAATCATTGTCTATCTTGTTTTTGAGACAGGGTCTCTCTTGAACCTGTAACTCACTTGTTTGCCTAGACCAGCTGGCCAGCAAGCCCCAGGGAGTCTCCTGTCTCTGCTTCTCTAGGGTTGAGGTACCAGTATGTGTGACTACAACTGACTTTTATGTGTGCTTTAGGGATCTTTATATTGTGTCTCATTTGTTTACCAAGTGAAACATTTTTCCATTCTGACGTTTAGCTTTTTGCTTAATAAGTTGCTCATGATTCCCACCCCTAGCTAAGGGCCTATTGATAGTTGATGGTTTCAGGGGATGATGAGCCAAATTTTTTAAGAGTCCCTAGTGGATGAACCATGTTCTAGTGAATGACCCCACAACTAGAAGAATATTGTCAGTGCAAACAGAAGTTGGGAGGGGTGAAGAGGTGTGGTGTTTCCAGGAGGAGGGAGAGGAGAAATAGGGGTGAATATGATAAAATATATTGTATTGCCCCCTCAAGAATTAATAAAAATATATCAAAAGAGTAATTAGACATTTTCTTCAAGCTTAGGTATTATCAGTCATGTCAAAATCTCTCAATAGATCATCCTAGATTCCTTAGTGTCTTATTACCAGCTCCTTCAAATCCTTCTACAGATTAGTTTGTGTGTGTGTGTGTGTGTGTGTGTGTGTGTCTTTACTACTTACTTTTTGCTCCAGAAATCTTTTTTAACTTTTATTTATTTTTGCTTCATGTGCATTGCTGTTTTGCCTGCATGGATGTCTGTGAGAGGGTGCTGCGTCCTCTGGAACTGGAGTTACTGACAGTTGTGAGTTGTCATGTATATGATAGGAATTGAACCTGGGTCCTCTTTTAGAACAGCAAGTGCTCTTAACTGCTTAGCTTCTCTCCAGCCCTACTGATTTCTTCTCAAGAAGCTTTATATTGGTTCTTGTTTATTAAGACCTGTTTTAGAGGTCATATATTCTCTCAAGCCTTTATAATGTTTTGGGGGGGCAGGAAGTTGTGTGTATGAATTAGTGGACTTCAGTAGAAATCTCTCTCCCCCAAGTCTTAATGTGGGAAGTGAATTCAGCATTGGTTGCAAACATTTTGTTTTTTCTGTTGTGGCTGAAAAACTTCTTTCCATATTTTCTTAAGTGTCCCCAATCATTGGAGCACACATGTCAGTAATCACTCAAAACAAAGCAAGATTTAAAAAAAAAGTGAACTACAATTAGAAAGTCAGATAGATATCCAAGACCTCTCCTGTGAGCTGTTGCAGCCTCCATGAATTGAAGCTGCCTTCTGACTGGACTCCTATAGATGCTGTAAACTGCAGAAAAATCAGGTTGCTTTTCTAACGTGTAGCTAGCTACTCAAGCTAGAATTTGGGAGGCCAACAGTTCATTGCTTTTCTGGCCGTCTTTTGATAAGCTTTGGTGATCAGCCTTTTTAGCTCATCTTCCTTAATCTGGAAATAGAAGTTTAAATACCCATGGCTCAGGGTGCTTTAAGGCTTTGTTTCAAGGGAAGAACAGCACATTCTTCATCCACAAATCTTTGCATCTTTGGAAAGCAGCTTAGCTTTTTGTACTATATTCCCATCCGTATGTTCTATTGAGGCATGGGTGATGACTTCCCTGTGTCTCAGACAATCTGTACATTTCACTGTAGTGATCTAAGATTAACCACTCACTCTTCATCTCTATAACACTAAAAACCTTTTTATTTTTCCTGCTTCCTGGGAAGATGTTCACAGTGAATGAAATAGCATTTTGCTGTGAACAGCCTCTGCTGTCCTTCAAGTGGGTCTTATCCACTTGCTCCCTTTCACCCCTAGTTTAATTCCTTTCTCTACCTGTCACCTTCTGAGGCATGTTTAGAAAGGTGACTTGCTGGCATCTGTTTCTAGCAGCCACTTAAGTGTTGCTTGGTATTAGGAAGCAGAGAGAGACAGCTGAGGAAAAAAGCATCTTAGGTCGTGGATGTTTGCACATACAAACTTTAGAATTCAGGGTCTTCCCTTTGCTCACTTTCTACTTCCCTATGTTTAGTTTAAGCAAAAACAAACAAATAAACAAACTAAATAAATAAACAACAAAACAACAACAACATATGTAGTTAGTCAAAATAATAAGTAAGAACATCTTGCTTACACCAGAGGCTTATGAAGTATGGGTGACTGTCTTTCCATACTCTGGCTGATTGGCAGATGATTGGGGAAGCTGATTTGGATGCCTTTAAATGAACTGAGCTGTGATAGATAATTCAAAGGGACTATTTGTCACTACTGAGGGATCTATAGTAATATGGCTGACAGAACATTGTTTCGTTGATTTCTCTGGAGAAGACTGGTCTATAGGTCAGTGGATTGAACGGGGAAGAACCTCTTGAAACATGGTGGAATTCACTGAATCTTCTGGGGGTTGGGTGAAAAGACAGAACTGCAAATTCTCATTCTTTCCCATCAGAGTGGGTCATTTTTCTTCTCCTGTCTCTGAAGATCCAGATTGTAGACTTTTTCCCTTTGGACTCTGAGACTTGACCCAGCAGCCTCTTGGAGACTCTCAGTCCTTTAGCCTCAAACAGAATTGCATCACTCAGTTTTCTGACTTGGGTGGAACCATGCTATTGAGTTCTCTGGTTCTATATTATGCCGATGACCTATGATAGGACAACTGTGCATCCATAATGTGAACCAATTATCCTGAAAAATTAATTTATATTCTCTCTCTCTTTCCATCATCTATGTCCCATTATTTCTTGTCTATCTGGAGAACTCTTGCTAATACTGCTGTGCCTGCCAGGAATCTTGTCCTGCTTCAAGGAGGCATACAATTTTAGCATTCTTAGGGGAAAGCTTTCAAAATTCTAGGGATGACTTCTCAGTCAACTTTGGAAGACACGGTGTTTTGCAATCTCGAGCAGACATTAAATTAGTATAGCTCTTCTGGGATGATAATATGAACACACTCAGATGCATGAGTCCCAATAGTCCTTTCAGGTTAGTTACATAGTGTATTCTCACATCTCTGTGACTAGCAGATACCTATTTGCATCTATTGGCGTACCTAGGTGAATAATGTTACAGGTTGTTTATGAAGAAATAGCAAGTCATAGAAACAATAATAATAGCAGTTTATAATAAAACTTTAAAGGCATTGAAGAAGTCATAAGAAGATGGAAAGATCTCCCATTTTCATGTATTGAACAGATTAATACAATGAAAATGGCCAAACTACCAAATTGAAGAAGTCATAAGAAGATGGAAAGATCTCCCATTTTTATGTATTGAACAGATTAATACAGTGAAAATGGCCAACCTACCAAAAGCAGTCAATCCCAACCAAAATTCCAAAACAATTCTTCACAGAAATTGGAAAAAATCTTCAATTTTATATGGAAACAAAATTGCCAAGATAATTAAAACAATCTTTAATCAGCATCTTCAACATATGGTGCTGGTCAAACAGGATGTCGGTGTGTAGAAGAATCAAAATAGATCTATATTTACCACCCTGCACAAAACTCAACTCCAAGTGGATCAAGGACCTCAACAGAAGACTATATACTATGAGTCTGATAGAAGAGATAGTGGGGAATAAGCTTGACTTATTGGTACTGGAAAAAGTTTCTGAACATAATACTGATGGAGATTGTGACTACATGCACAAGATCTGCACAGGTTCAAGCCAGTAGATCCCAGCACAGTACAGGGGAATGGATACATTGCACTACCCTTATCAAGAAGATTTCTGCAATGGATACCCTCTGGTAAAGGAGAAAATTTTTCTCCAATTAATTCTCACTGGGTATATCATATCAACCACATGTCAGATTAGGCCCCGTACCCAGGAGCAGTGGGCTGATCCAAAATAAGATCAATGGCATTTTTGCCAATTTGGCATTTTTTTGTCTTATTGGTCTTTTGCTTGTTTGTTTTGATGGAGTTTCTTCTCTCTCTCTCTGTATCTTTTTAATTCATTTCAAAATTGATTAATTAATAATTTAAAGATTAATTAATAATTACTTTTTCAAAGAGAAAGAATAAAGAACATAAGATTGGATGAATAGGGAAGTGGAGAATCTGGGAGGAATTATCAAAATATAGTGTATGAAAATTTTTTTAAAAAATTATGATAGTTGTATTTTAAAATTAATTACCCTCTGTCAGACACTCAAGTAGAGATATTCATTAAATTATCTCACCTTATCTTTAAATGGTGAGGTAGGTATTTTCTACACTTTACATATAGCTAACTTAGATTAAGGA